CGTCGTTATGCATAACGAAGAGAAGTTCCGATCGTTTCACGCACGTGAGTAATGGCGAGTCCAGGGGAAAACAGAGAGAAGTTGTACAAGTCAATGGCAGAGGAATCTTAATAATTTGGTAAGAAACTTCTGTCATGTGCATAAATTTTCCGTAAAGAGTCCTAGGACATGTCACTTTCAGAATTGGCAGATGCAAAATATTGTGTTTGTTTTGGTGGGGAACCATTAGCGTTCTGAACCAAATGCCTGTCCGTCTCGTCAGACACACTGATCAAGTAAAAATGACATTCGTCCATGCCTAAAGCGACAGCGACAGACTTGGTGGAGAGTCGGGTTGTGTTGTCATGTTGCATGCACTGACAATAACATAATCTAATGTACAAATAGTTTCATCTTTTCAAATTCATTGGAACATCACGAGCAGACGTGAATATTTTTTAATGAATTTAGAATTTATATCTACTACTGACTTGTTGTTTACAGTAAAGTGGTTTTCAATAAAGTTCGATAATTAAAAAAAGTCATCGATTCATTCCTTAATAGGAAGTGGGGCGGTGGGGTAGCCTAGTGGTTAAAGCGTTCGCTCGTCACGCTGAAGACCCAGGTTCAATTCCCGACATGGGTACAATGTGTGAAGCCCATTTCTGGTGTCCCCTGCCGTGATATCGCTGGAATATTGTTTAAAGCGGCGTAAAACCATACTCACTCACTCACTCAATAGGAAGTTTAATCATCTAGGCATTTATTGATCAAATATCCCCGTGTAATATGGGTTCTCAGGAGGACAATCTCCGCGATAGGTCACATGTCTCAAAGACAAGCAACCAGCTTTTGTGAGAATCAATTGGACATGAACTCCCGAACCTTCGGATTGTTAGCCCGACAGCTAACCGACTGAGCTACATTCAGACTTTTAGACTAAGTGCAAATTTGCCTAGTCATGCCTAAGACATTATCAGTGTTCCCGTTTACTGGTAATTACCATTTTTTTACCGGTAAAATTAGGCTTGGACCGGTAATTCATGTGACTGCCAGTCCTTGTGGACCGGCAAGTTAAGTACCTTACAAATCTTTGTTGAACAAAACATCGGCGATATTCCTATAAGTATATTTTTGGAATAAAGTCAGCTTGTCTAGGGTTTCCCCTTGTCTATTTCTAGTGCAAGAAAATAACATTAGAGTATATATTTGTAGCGACTTAGTCTCGAAATATTAAAAAAGAAGAAGAGAGAATTGTGACTGAACTTTGTGTGAATGACGTGTAGATCTAACTAAGCTGCTTCAGAGATGACGTCATTGCATTGAACATGATGTTGAAGTAATTAAACCAGGTAATTTGCATACATTTTGTTATTTGTTGAAAGTTGGGACTGACAAAAATAAGAGGGGACTGGTAATTTTAAGTGTTACCAGTCCATTGGACTGGCAGTTTCAAAAGCCAACAGGAACACTGATTATAGTGAGTGAGTGAGTTGGGTTTAACGCCGCATTTAACAATATTACAGTTATATCGCGGCGTGTCAGCTTAATGTGGGAGGAAAGCCCGAAGTGATGCAGGTCTCAGACGTTTACCACTTCGGTGAAACCCACGAGCACGGGTATGGTGCTGACAAACCTAGAAACATAATCGGGGCGAACCGGGATTCGAACCCACAATCATAGGTTTCTGGCATGCCCAAGGGACGCAACTCTGCACAGCGAATCGCGGCGCCTTAGACGACTGGGCCACCCGTGCCCCCCACTGATTATAGAACTGAATGGAAAGGGTCAAATAAGTGACCAGACAGACACTTCCGAAGATTACGGGTAGGCCTGGTGTCTCGTGACTTTAGTCTACAAACACTTATGAATGATCCTGATGCACACTTGTCCCATTCTGTAATCTACAAGATACTGAGTGGTGAGGAATGAGCCGATATGACGCGAACAACTCCTGGCGTCAGATGTTGAATTCACACCTATGCATGAATGACAGGGTTTTAATCATTTGTTGGGTAATTTTTTTGTCAGAAAAGTGTTAACATTGTAAGGATAACGTGGATCATAGTGAGGAACTAGGAAGGCATAATTATTGCTACTGAATGATTACTGACAAAGTTTAGTGAGTGAAAGTGGCTTTAGTGGCTTTTAATTCCATGACAGTTCCTGCAGCCAAAATTTTTAACATGAAACTACTTCATCGTACTCGCTCAATCTTCTTGTGAGGGAAATAAATGTAACTGAAAATTCAGTCCTTTGGATATCACCTATAACTTGGCCTTAGTTGGGGCTGAGAGTTCATTATGTGAAGGTTTAGACATGTTCAACATGTTCAAGGTTTTAAGAATTAAGACCACACCCTGGTACCTCAGAAAATTGTCAACTACAAGTACAAGATATTGATCAGTTTCTAAGTATGGGTTAGAGCACAAGGACCTTGTGTCTAATCGTTGAGACTAACTAACTATGTCAATGATGCATGTCCAATATTTAAAACACCTAAAATATTTAAAAAACATTGTTGTTGTGTTTTTTTCAAGGTATTTTGAAAGATATTCAGGAACTCTATGCTTAACTGTGAGGACACTGTGAGTTGTCCCTGCGTAATGCACATGAAATTTTGTAAGTGCACCTCACACTTTGCTGACTCAGAAATGCATGTGCCTTGGGCAAGTATACCATTCTGAATACACCTGAATGTACCTCTGAATTTTAGACAGTAGACAAATTGAAAATTAAGTCGCATTGGCGACCGTTTTAGTCACAACTTTGAGGCCTGATTTGTATGTACAAATTCTACAATACATGGAGTAACATACTGTATTAAAACTGCATAAAACACATATTTTGCAGTTCATTAATGGATAAACAATTAGTCCTGATGTATGTAAATATTTAGTTGTTAATTTCATACAATTTCTCCCATTTCGCCGTGGCAGAAGACTACATTCATTAGACTTCGATGCGGACTTTGTGGGTTCGACACACATCTTTCATGAACATGTTCTGTCATCAAGGTTAAAGTTTAGGGGGAAAAAGTAGTTGTATTACTAATAATTCAGTTAGTTAATACACAGTCAAAGACAAAGGCGCCTTGGTTAAGAAACTGCATGTTGCCATAAGCGAAGTTCTGGTTCCTAGAGTTTTATAAAGAGTGTGCAACAATACAATTTGGACTAAAAAACTTGACTTTCAAAATATTATAACGTTCGGGGACAATAAAATAACCAAGAAAGTTTTTGATCTTTGTTCTTTCTATTACAGGCTGTACATCACATGGGGGACCCGAAATTTGACTTCTATGTGGTTTTCAATATGACAACAGTAGTATTCAACAGTTGTGAGGCAAATCAGTTGATTTTCTTAGTTACTCCCTGTTCTTTTGCTCTAGTCAAAGATTAAAAATACATTTTGGAAATTTAGCAGCCCGAGAGTTTTTCATTCAGCCACACTCAAAAATCATAGCCACTAGTCCAAAGACAGAGTCTAGTAAAGTTCTGTTTGGTCTCATAAGATCTGCTATTAAAATACCATATGATAACACTCAAACTCATTAAAATCTGACCTTAGTTCTCACTACCGCTAAACAAAGATCTGAGAACACCCCATCCATTACGGGTCACGTCAGACAAACCTTGCCCGAAATTTGACGACCAATGTAATGACTGACAAGAAGTCGACATTAGCCAATCAGTAGACAGCTTTCTCGTGCTTTATGACACTAATTTCAAATTGGCGACTTCTCTTCGAAACATATTTTGACAAATTCTTGATTAAAAATTTGAAACCTGAACAAAAGAACATTCTGGAATGGCTAATAGATGGGCTAGATTGTATGGATTCAGTCGTTAAGCCCGTAACTATTGTTCGGAATACCCCATGTTAAAGTTTTCAAGGTTGCATCACATTCCGACTGTCACCTTCATGATCTGGTAAGCGACGCTCTGATTAGTCAGATGAAAGGTCGTTCTGATTTGACCCAGATCTAATGGGATGTCCTCAGATCTTTGTTTAGCGGTAGCAAGAACTAAGATCTGATTTTAATGAGATTGGATAACACTAAAAGATACCAATAATGATGCTAAGAGCCAAGTTCGAACTAGTAGACTCATAAGTGTTGGGCACAGACTGCACTTAGCAAAAGCCTGGCATTTTAAATACAATTACTTTTTAATTTCAATCAATAAGACAATCTTCTGAAAATGATGCAAAAAAAACAAAACAAGTTTAGACTAAGAAGTTCAAAAGGCTTTGGTCCAGTCGAAATGAACCTGTTCAAAACAGGAAATGATGTAGAATTTGTTTCTATAATGTGCATGGGTGTTGGTCAGTGATACCTACCTGCCGACGGGCTGTTCTCAGATGCTCTCTCCCTTTTTTTTAAAAATGCACATATCCCATTAGTTAATAAAACATTGAATATGAACTTCTTAAGTGAGTATAGAGTATTATCATCTGTAATTATTTGTCTTATTGTTCAGTCTTTATTGGTGGATGATTTGTTACCTGACTGGCAATTTACCATACCTGCCAGTCCATCTGTATGACTGAAGTTTATCTGAATTTTGAACACTGTAGATACTTACCTAATATGATGATTAATATTTTTCTAGCAATGTTTTGTAACAATGATTCTTCTGTTTATATCAGGACACTATGGAAAAGTGCAGCCTGCTTCCTTGCAAGACAGACACCAACTAGAACAAGAACTCTGAAGTTGAAACTGAGTTTTCCAAAGAATGTGATAATTTTCCTTGATTGAAAAAAGAAATGAAAAGATAAGCAGTCAAAGAATGAATTTCAGGTTTCGTCCAGGGTTGCTTGGGGATCCCACTCAAGCCTTTGGAAACAATCACCATGCACAGGCAAACATGGGATTCTGTGCTTCAGGAAATGTGAACTTGAGCTCATGTGGTCCAGGGCTATTTGCTGAAGGAAGGGGTAATTTTGGGTGTAGACATTTTCAACACTCAACACCGAACAACATCGGTATATGTTCTAGACAGTATGGTCCATTGAATATGGCAGGTGGAGCAATCCACCAGAATGGTTCCGTTGGACAGAATCAGTGGACTGGAGGAGCCCAGCACAACATGGTTGCGGCTGGAATGCTGAATGACAATCAGTGTGGTATGATGAACTGGAACCAGGGAAACTTTAGCTACAATCAGGCGAATCAAGGGAACAATATGCCAAGGTTTCCAATGTCTCAGAATTCTCTCAAGCCAAGAATGTTGCAAAACCATAGTCTAAATCCACAGATAAACCAGAACAGTGCACACAGAATGATGATGATCCAGCAACAGAACTTCAGTGGGAATTGTATGCAAAACATATCACAGATGAGAATGTGTCTGCAGCAGCAGCAGATGTTCTACAGAGCCCATGGTATGTCCATGGACAGCTGTGTGTCCACAGACAGTAAGCCATTGCCATTACACAACTCTAGGATTGGTCGGTGGCAAACTGCTCAAGACAGTAGCAATATGATGAACAGTATGCAATCAAATACAAATTATCCCACCTTTCTCAATCAGAACTTTAATCCAGGAGACAATTCAGGATACCAGCAACAGCCTTGGGGTGACCAGTGTGCAACAGAGAAAGTACATGTGGAGAAAGTTGTCACATGTCGGACGGTTACTGGCACTCTACGAAGGTCTCACATGCAGAAGGATGACAAGACCTGTGGGAAAGAGACTGTCACAGTGCAGACCAGAGAGACTATCTTCAGGCAGACCCCAGTACAGGAAGTATTTGAGTACAACCACAACAGCTCACACCCATCTGGTGGTGCCAAACCAGTGTCTCTCTGCAGAGAACTCAGTCATCATGGTCATACAAACAGCTCACACCCATCTGGTGGTGCCAAACCAGTCTCTCTCTGCAGAGATCACAGTCATACAAACAGTGGAGGAGATGCAGACGCTAAGTCCCAAGTTGCTAAAAAAGCTGATCAAACAGAGAGTGATGACATGAGCAGGAATCGCAGTTGTGGTGCGGATGTAAAGACACTTGTAAGAGAATATCATCACAGAAAATGTCAGAATGAGAATGATTCTGCAGGAAAGGCCAGCTCAGATAACCTGGATGTGAATGTAGATAGTTCTCCAGAGACAGAGAAGGAGTTGAAATCAAGAGGTAGTCTTATAGTTTCAGTCGATGAACTGGTACCAAGTGATACATCTACAGAGAAACGTAGAGACAAATCATTCGTTCGTGGATTAGAAGATCGTCATCGCAGGTCTAGATTAGATAGATGGACCGATTACAAGCCAGGTGAAGAAGTTAATCAAAGTATTCAACCTCATCCCACAAGCATGGAAAAGATCCCTCCACCTGTTGTAGACAAAAGTCTCTCCTTTGATCATGTTAACACAGCAAAAAGAAGTCAAACAGAAGACAAGAGTCGTGAAGATAGCCTGCAGTCAGATTCGAAGACAGTGAAAGGGAGGCAAGCACCAGATGTAATAAAAGAAAATGAACATATTTTTTCGCCCCCTGACAAATACTCACAATTAAGATCAAAGGGAAACAGTGCAGGTCTTTCATGCCATGTTCACTTGAGTGAAATCAAAAATCATTTACGTCAATCTGACAGACAAATTGAAAGACGGTCCTCTCCAATAGACGAACCAGAGAATAGGTTATATCAGCACAGAACAGAAAGAGGACATCACAGATCCAGAAAAGAGAAGAGTCATCCATCAGTTGTCAAGAGCAAGACTGGTACACAATTACAATCTCTGGATACAGTAAGAAGTGTTCCATGTGGTGAGGTCATCAGTGGAGTGAGACAAGCAGATCCCATCAATACATCAGCAACTCGGTCATATTCTCCAAGAGGTAAAGACAAAGGTCCGTCTTCACATGAAGAAGGCAAAGCTGTGAGACACAGGGATGAAAACAGAACATCAGTGGATCAGATGTATTCTGAGAAAAAGAGATCACATAGGGATAAGACTGAAAATTGTTCAAAGACTGTCAACAGGGATGCAAGAAGACATTCAGATCCTATCATCACATCAGCGAAACAGCCATATGATCAGCAGAAAAATGAACATGTTGACTTTTCTCCTTCGTACAGTACAGAAAATAGACATGCCTCTCATAGCAAAAGAACTGTTGTGATTGTAAGATCTCCACAAAAGTCTTCTAAAATCATAAAGCATGATGACACAAAAACATGTGAAAGACAAATTGAACTGTCAACCATGAAATCCCCAGACGTATCATTGGAGTTGAAAAAGAATAATCTGAAAAATATGGACTCTCAAGGGTTAGGATTTTCATTTTTGAAGCCCAAACAAGGTGAAAAACACATATCCTCTAAGGTTAAAAGTCCTCCAAGATTCTGGTCTTCTGAATATTTGAACTATGTGTCTTCTAGAAAGACTCACAAGAACTCCACTGATGATAGTGATAGTGAAACCAGCTCAGCCAAGCTAAAATCTTCATATTGTTTCCTTCCACGATCTGTCAGTTTGGGTCGTGCTGCCCGACAAGGTGCAAAAAACAAAGTTACACAAGCAATGAGCCGTATGAAGAGCAGAGAACCAGTCAAGCAGGATCAGTTGTTTACACCTGATCCAGTCACTGTAGCCACTAAGAATACAGTTTCCTTAAATAAACAAAAACATGAATCATTCAAAGAAACATCATCAGCTATGCATCTCCCTGAACTTTCCAGTTTGTCCAGAAAGTCAGAACACACTCGTGTTGAGAGTAACTCACTTCCTCCTACCCTTGCCAACATGTCTCTGCATTCTGGAGCACGGGCCCCCAAAACTCAAGAAAGTCATAAAGTAAAATTGTCAGGAAGTGGTCTGAAAATAACTCTCATTAGATGTGTAAAACCAGGCTCACAAGGTCCATCAGAAAGTAACAAAGGTAGTGAACCAAAGTCAATTCCAGTATCACGACGAACAAACCCTCGCACATGTGTGTCTGCAAGAAAGAGTGTAGTTACAGGAGAGAACAAATCAGTGAGGAAGTCAAGATCATTAGAATGCAGTCCAATGGATGTCAAAAAGGAAGGGCATTGCCAGCTACAGGGTCGGAAGCGGATGACCAGGAGATGCCTGGGAGATAGATTTAGTTTACAACTCAAGTCCCCTTTAAGTCATACAAAGTCCTTTGTGAAGCAAACCAAATCCCGGCATCAAGCTGAGAGCAACACAAAATCCCTTCAAAGTCACATTAAATCACTTCCAAGTGAAGCAGCAACTCCTCTGTGCCACACTAACGCTTCAATGTGCCAATTAAAGTCTCCTCTTCGTCACATTAATCCACCACCTAGTAAAGTAAGGACACCTCTGTGCCATGCTAGATCTCCACTGAGTCTATTGAAAACTCCCCTTCATCATGTTAAATCACTCCCTAGTAAAGCAAAGATAAGCCGCACTCAATCTCCAATGAGTCAGTTAAAATACATTAAGTTAACCCCCAGTCAAGATAAGCCTAAATCAAGTCATACTAAGTCACCTCCCATTCAAGCAAGGTCACCTCTCAATCTGATCAAGTCTCCTGTAAGTAAAAGCAAGACATTTGTAACTCCATCAACACGTTCCCTTGAACGCAAGATCTGTGATCGAAAAAGAAACCTGAAGTCCCAAGTCATTCCATCTGGCAAGGTGATACCATTGAGTATACCCATGCGTAGACTAAGAGATCTTCAACAGAAACCTATCAAGACAGACTCGACACAAAGCTTGGGCTCGAGATGTGTGACCCCGCTCAGGTTGTCTGTGACAAAGAAAGGGACTGCCAATGTGATGACGTCCAGATGTGGAGACCATCGAGCTGCACCAACAGCTTCTACTCAAAAGGTAGGGACTCCTGTGTCTTCAAAACAGTCACAAATGTTTCACACACATTCCCGCACTCATAGTACCAATGTGACTCCTCCCATGAACCGGGGACAAAAATGGAGTAAGAAGACACGAACACCCCTTAGGGCGGTGTCCACTCATTCCCCTACAAATCGTACCTGTGTGACTCGCACCCGGAACTCCAGGCAGAGAGGGAGTGAGAATACTCATTCCCGTTCCAGTGTGACTCCCACCATGAACTTAAAGTCACTGACACCTTTGAAGATGTCCATGAAGTCAGTTACTGCTAAGACACAGAGAACCGCTGAGCCAGAGAAGGCATCATGGGGCCTAGGCACCAAAACAACAGCCTGGAGTGGTAATGAGGAAGGATCTCATTGCAGAAATGATGAGGGCACAACAAGGAACTGTTCAGATCATACAGGAAGTAGCGAGGATGAGAACAGAGACAACACTGAAAATGTCACGGAACTTGCTTTGAGTGTGACAAGTATCCAGTCAGAGACAGACACGAATCCTGGTATTAAGTTAAAGTTTACTAGCATCAAGAAAGACAACTTTCGGAAGCCATTTTGCTCTTCATCAAGTAATATAGAAGATGGTATAGTACTCTCTTGTGTTCAGGATACGAAGGGTACTGCTACTAGAAAGAGTTTTCCTCACAGTAGACTTGGTGCTTGTCAGAGGGGTCAACTAAAGTCTTCTGAGGAACAGCTCAGTGCTGAATGTGTTGTCAATGTTAGTTACACAGACGTTTGGAGGAAGCAAAGGTCAGTAGATAAACCTTCATCTGATGTGAATCCACACTGCTCCTCAAAGAAGGCAAGACTATCAAATAGTGAAGTCTCTGATTCAGAGATGGAAAACCGTCCAGCTGACAATGAGGATCCTGTAAGCCATACCAATGACCAGGAGATCTGGAGTCAAGATGTGAACCTTGATGTTGATGTACATCCTCAGATGAAAGGAGATATAGTGGACACTACTGATCTCAGCTTTCCTGAAGTATCAACTGTCTCAAGTGATATGCTGATGAATCAGGAAATTCAGTCTCCTAGGAAAGATTCTGAAGTCGTCGTACGATCATCAGAAAAACAAAATAGAGGTGATAAGAAGAAGCATATCAATGGCAATAAGGACTATGATTTGAGAAACAAAAGGAAGTCGAATAGTCTTGAAAAGAACAGAAGCTCTGTCGGCATGTGGGATGCTCCAGTGAATCACAAACATTCAAGGAAGAAAGGGAGCAACTCTGAAGGCGAGAATGTTAACTCAAAATACAAATGCAGCTGTAAGGTAGGTAGAAGAACTGATCGTAGAGGCAGACATTCAAAACAATGTGAAGTCTCCAAGAGGAAAAGGCACTTATCTGAGGTTTCTGACTGCAAGCATAACAGGGCATTGTCCAGTAGAGAGAGTGGGAGCCATGTGGATAGGCATAGGAGGAAATCCAAGGACGGGACATCAAATGTTTCCTCCAACAGCAGTGCCCTGAAGCCAAGGTCCCCGGCCAGCAAGTCACATGGTAAGGCGAAATGTCAATTTGACAGCCGAGTGGCAGTAGAGAAGGAGAACACACATCGCATCACGTTCAACATAATCCAGGGAGATCAGTTGACTCAGCCACGCCTCCGACTAAGAAAGTGTGTCTACTGCGGCTCCTTCTGTACCCGTCTCACACACATCATGAGGGAACATGTCACAGTCGTTCATCCACACAAGTGTCTCACCTGCCATATCGCCTTTAAAAATAAGGTAGGTAGGTAGTTAATCAAAGGTAGGTAGTTAATCAAAGTACAGTGTATTATTTTACGACTGGATGTTATACATGTAGAATCTAAATAAGGAAACAATCTGTTGTTATATTCTAAGTTTTTCTGAAGAAAATTAGTCTGATCGCCGACCTACTCACATTATCGATCGATGACAGTGCATTACAAAGCCTTTCTGTACTTTCTAAATTAATGCTGACAGTGAGCACATATTTAGCCAAGTCAGAAAGAACAAAACTGACTTCAGACTAAATTTGTCAGTTAATGTACTTTCATCAATGATGATCCTGAACATTCTGAAGGGAGGTGTCAATGGCTGCAGAGTTAACTGCCTGTTATGAACAAATACCTACCAAGAAACTACTCAAAAAGGTCAAGAGTGCCACACACTCTGATGAACAAATATCTTAAAAGAAACTACTTAGAAATGTCAAAGCGCCACACACTCTGCCCTGAACAAGAAAATATATGATTGTGCGCACTGTTATTAGCATAATTGTTTTAAAATATCTTTGTCATCATCATGATTATCATGGTACTGTTAACATTACTCTTTTTGACATAAAATTAATCTTTTTTAACCACACTAATTCCTCCAAAGCTTCAATTAGAGTTGGCATCTCTGTGAACTTAAGGAAGGTGCCTGACTCTGTACTTATACACCAATTTTTAGTTTTATAGTTATCAACTGAACATTTGGGTATACTGCTGAAATATTGCTGACTACATATTTTTCATTTTTTTGAGATGACAATTCAAGTCCATATTTGTAGATTAAACTTTTGGATTAATTTGTACCTCTTTCAGACTTGCGATATTTCTGTTTAAAGTCAGAATTCCATCTTTATTACCTCTGCATGTTTGCCAACTTGATATATAATGATTTCTGGTGGTTTATGAGGTTTATGAGTTCTTGGGTTTTTGTCATCCAATCACGTGCCTGCTTAGTGTTCTTTGACTGTTATGATTGTATATGATTGAAATTGTTCACAAACAATTGTCAAACAACAAAGGTAAAGAAAACATCAGTGGCAAATCATCATGCATATTTCTTGCAGTTCCAAGGAACAAAGATGTGTGGTATTGAACTGTATTGATCTTTAAGAACTTGATGCTAGGGTTAAATCTGTAAGATATGTTCTGATTTTAGCTGGAGGCACGGGCACACAAGCTGTCCCGGCATCTGAAGGAGGTCCACCATTGCATGCTGTGTCACAAAGTGTTGACGTCTAGACTCCGCTATGAGAGACACATCCAGTGCAAATCTCACCTGCGTCTGATGGAGGCTCAGCGAGAGGCTCTTGGGGCCATCTGCAGGGCGTTCTTTCAGGGAGGTCAGGAGGATTTTGCAGGTGAGATGACTGAGAGTGAATGAGTGAGCAGGGTTTTTGCACAGATTTTAGCAGTAATCCAGCAAAGTCAACTCCATGCCATGTCCTCGAAAACGTTTGTAGCCCCCAAAACATGTATTTTAGGTAAAAGTTTGTACATGTCGAACGAAAGGTTGGGCCTGAAACTATAAATCTATTGAGTGACTAATGTTGATGTTTCAATGTGTCATTGTCTGTCATTCATTGAGGGAAACTATTAATTAGTTTAGATAGGGTGTATTACCATGATTACTGAATTGCCCAAGCTCTGGGGCTTTCATTTCAACAAGTCCACAATACGATAAATGAAACAAAGAAGGTAGGGACATCTCAAAAACAAAACCGGGACATACAAGGATATTAGACAGCTTTGATACCTTTTAACTGTTCCATGATTTTTATAAGCAAATATTATGCAGTACATATCCTTATTGCTACACCTGTCAACGCATATCTCAATAAAGTACATTAACAGCAATATTTTGAGACGATCCCCAACACCAAGTTGATTTTAACACCTGTGAGAATGCACGGGCCGGTGTGGGGTCATCACCCCGGGAAAGGTGTTAGGTAGTTACATCAGGCCGTTTCATTCATGCATGACAACACATGAATATTTTCTAAGTTTATCATCATTTAACTTGTAAAAGTACCTTATTAAGTTAATCACAGTGTCTGCTAGGACAGGCAAGATTAGGTAGTTTTGCGTTATTTTGATATATGCTATTTTCATAGCCCAGTTATTCATATTTAATATATGAAGCATTTTTCTTGAATTTTCGACAGTACTTAGGCTACAAACTCGGAGGACCAGTGAAAACGTTTCTAGTTTATTATTAGCAGCCTCTTGAAACAAAGTGAGTTCTTTGAGTTTTATTGATTTTCAATATGGAACATATTCTATGTTTCTTTTTATCTGTAGACACTCTCAGAAAGGTACAGAGCCAGGAAACAGGTTTGTGGAACCCAGGGAGGGAATGTGGAAAAAAAGCTCTCGCAGCCCCAGAGGATGAGCCTGTCCCTCCTCCCCAACCTGCTCCCAACCTCTCTCATCTCCGCCATTTCTACTACGACAATCCAGAGCTAGGACAAATGGTGAAGAAGTTTGAGGAATGTAGTCCTGCCCAGACTCTAGCACTTGGCTCCGGGGATTCTTCAGCAACAGTGTCCTACACGGACCCTCAGTCAGATGTCTTCTTCTTCCCTCTGCCTCCTGTGCAGGACTCAGAGAGTTGGACTCTTACAACAGAGACAGAATCTGAGACCGAGGTATCCACACAGATAACTTTACAGGACAGAGACCTTCTAGATTTAAGTCTCAGTGAAGCTCTGGGAACTGCTATTTCAGAGTGGAAGGATCCATTTCTATCAGGACGGGTTTCCGAAAACCAGAACATTTCAAATGTGTATGCCAGTAAAGAACAGTTAATTTCAGACAACAACATGACAAACATAGAACTGCTATCCATAGACAGTAATAATCAGCCATCCAGTGTGGTCATCTGTAGCGAGGGTGAGCCACCACATACAGATATGTATGAGCATCAGACAGACACAGAGCCAGTCACAGACTCGGCCACAGAATCGTCTGTCTTCTCAGATTGGGATGACCCTCACAAGATGTCTCGACATCTGTTGTTCCCCAACAGGAGTCAGGAACAGGTGCCATCAGTATGGCCTGTGACATTTACCAGCACACCTATAAAGATGTCATCCAGCGTTATAGACATAAACACAAGACTTTCAACTTGTCAGGACAATTGCTCTGTTCTTTCTTTTCCTCTGAAGGAGACTGAAGCAACTCTCACCACAGATGTCAAGGTCATCACTGAGTTTGGTGACAGTACAATTTGTCCCATAGACAAAAGTCTTTCTTCAGTAGCACTCCCTGCGGAGATCAGTGGTGATAATGAGAGGTGCCTGAAGTATGGTCAGAGTGTTGCTATAGCAGACACACATCTGGGCGACAGTGATATGAATGTCTATGTCAACACTGATCACAATGAAAAGGGAGTTGTCAGAACAGAAAATAGTAAGGGTCCTCTGTGTTTAAACTTGACAAACATGGTTGATGTTGATACTGGTCCACCTGCCCCACTGATGTTGTCAACAGTTACTAGCACATCAGACGCCACAAACACATGTGTTGATAAACGACCTCATGACTCCTTGACATGCAATGACCCACAGCAAACCCAGACTGCCTCAGCATCAGACACGGACCATCCTTGTGCACCTATCTTGCCACCAGCAGACTGTCCACTCAAGGAAGTATCAACACCATCCTGCACATCGAACAGCATTCAGCCATTACCATTGAAACTGCCTGCAATTCCATCAGACATTCTTCCATCTCACCAGTGCAATATCACACTGTTGTGTGACTACACAGACTCCAGCGAGGATGAAAGCAGCGCAGGTGCTGACTGTTCTGAGACTGAGAGTTGGATTCAGACTGGCAAGGATAAGAATTCAAAAATTCCGGGCTATACCAACAAAAGTCAGGAAAGTGTAGATCCTGAGGTAACTAAGAGTCTGGTCCAGTCAGAACTGGATGGGAAACACGCATCTCCTGGTCAAGGCAGTGTAGGTGATGAGGTGACTGAGAGCTTAGTATGGTCGAAGCAGAGAAGGAAACTTACATCTCCTGGTCAAAACAGTGTAGATGCAGAGGTAACCGAGGACTTTGTGTGGTCAAGTCGGAATAACAAGACCAACTGTTCAGAAGAATCCAGTGATGCTATAAAGGAAGTTGATGATTCTGAAGAATGTCGTTTGAAGGCTGAATTCAGTTTACTTCTGAAGGAGATCGCCGAAGATGAGAAGTTCCTGGGTACTGCCTGAGCTGAAAGTTGACCCCAGGGCAGTAGAAGGATAGATACCCCATTATGAAGTGTCTGGATAAACCTATGACTAAACATAATAAGCAACATTGTTTTCCCTCTGATTCACATGATGTTTTCGTTCATGTAAACAGAGACCATATATTTGGTCTCTGATGTAAACCTGTAATGAAGTTAGCTGGAAGCTATCATTCCAGTTTAGGATTTTGTTTTATTATTGAATGCAAGATATGTTAGTGTATGTGAGATATGTGTGTTAAATCTATGTTATATCTGTTTTAAGTTGTTATTGTTTTAGGTTTATTGTTTCAAGTGATAAGGTAAACACTGTAGTTTATCACGTTTGTAACTTTACAGGCCAAGGTCACTAGCAAAAAAAATCACTTATGGCTTTCCTCCCACACATAGCTGACATGCAGTGATATACTGTAAATTTCGAAATTAAGTGTGAATAAAATGCAAAAAATGTGAGTGGTCTATGCTCGCTTTAATTAACTTCGCATTTATGTCTCCAAAATGACTGTCAACAAAAAGATGGCCTCACTGCACAATTTGGATAGAGGAAATGCCAACTTGAATATAAACACAAACACAGTTTATTAAGCAGCTGTTGTAACAAGTATATAACATTGCCATTTAAAGAATCGGAATTACCCAATGGGCATTCGGTAAGTTATCACTGCTGGGGTCAAGAGCTGTACACACTCGTGTCAAGGTTGTTGACACCTTCTCCGCATACCAATCAGTGAACTGTTGTTGGTGAATACATTTTATTGCCATTGAACTTCTTTAATGCAAGTTAACAAATTTACCATATAATCTGTGTGTTGTTTTTAAGAAAACTCTGTTTATTGTTTTTGAGGAAGTTCTCTACTCAGTGCTAAAAAGCGATGCTATTTGCTGTTTGCTTGGATTAAGGTAAGGTTGGATTAAGGTTAGGATATGCATCATTCCGCTGGGGATTGGATGGGGCAGTCGCATTGATATCAAGACGCATTTTTGGCTAGGGGTCAGCAGTCGTATTAATTTGGAAACGCATTTGTTTCCAGGTTTACAGTTACTAGAGTACTGTTCAAAGCAGTGTTAAAGCCCACTCACTCACGTTGCGCTATGACTATCGTAAACAGTGTTCCAAATAACCATGAAAGTCAAGGGGTACACGTCATAGCCCTAATGTTTACAACTGCAGATTTTGCGGGTGCCCAAGATGCAAATAAACTCACCACCAAAAGAAACGCGAACCATAGAAACATATAGAGAAGTATGTATGTTAAGAAGAGATGTTTCCAATGTGTACCACTTAATGACAAAACTAACAATCAGTCAAGTGTTACCACAGAGTGACTTTATTGTTATCACGATATGCTGCACTTGATTTCCAAAATGTACACGCTAATCCTGCACGAGACAAATGGTGCATCTCAAGTCATGGGTCTATGACGTCACATGTGATACATTCTTGAGACTCAATTCACACAACATGCCAGTATGTTCGTTTGTGCGTAGAACCAATCTTATATCTCTTGAATTTGAGTAATTCTTCATATATTAACCAACATGTACAGGCTTAGAACTAAACTAAAAGACTTTACTAGCCCACGTAAAGATAAAATAATTTGGAAATTTGTTCTAGCCCGCAGGATTTGTACTAGCCCAGGGCTGGTGGGCTAGTGTTAATTTCTAACCCTGATGTATGGTATTCACGTTTCATTTGTCAGTGAGTATACTATGGCAGCCTTCATGTATTCTTGGACTCACTTTATTTGAAACACTGATCAGTCCATGTGGAAGTGTCGTTGTTGCACTGAGATTATCACTCTGTGGAGTGGGGCCAAGACTGATACTGGTCATCACATAGAAAGAAGTGAAATTTGATTTCGAGAGTTCACAAATGTTTTCAGTATGACAGATGACAATATTTTATTAGAGAATACATTAGATGGATATATTACTAGCCATAGCTAACAGGCAGGCAACAGTGTCAGACTCTGTTCTTTGTGTTGTAGGGGCACAGGTGGCCCAGTCGTCTAAGGCAGGTTTCGCTGTGCATGGTTGCGTCCCTATGATTGTGAGTTCAAATCCTGGTTCACCCCGATTATGTTTCTAGGTTTGTCAGCACCATACCTGTGCTCCTGGGTTTCACCGGAGTGGTAAACGTCTGAGATCTGCATCACTTCGGGCTTTCCTCCCACATTAAGCTGACACGCCGTGATATAACTTAAATAATGTTAAAAGCGGCCTTAAACCCAACTCACTCACTTTGTGTTGTATAACATTGATTCATTAAAGTTGTAATGCTAAGACTACCTTTGGAGTAGAATTAGAGGAACTATGCTCAATAAGTTGTTAAGAAACCCGATGGTTAAAGATGGTTAATTTGGTGATAAAAATTCTCTGGCATTTGCCAACAGAATGTTTTCTTCAAGGTTTTATGACTAGATATTTATAACCTATTTAATTTGATACTTGTTCATGTGTTTGGACATAGCTGTATCCTGTTCATTCTCTAGTGCTAATACAGTAATATCTGGATGGATGTTTGATGTACTGATTCACATAGGCTGATTTTAAGCTGTATTGTGTAGAATTCTGCAAATATGAATATTCTAAATATACGAGAATGAAGGGTTATTTTATTATTTAGGATATTTTGCTTGCTGTAAAACTGATTTGATATTATGTGTTTTAGATAGACATTGTTGTTAATGATAGGCAAATAGAGAATTCTGTTTAAAGTGAAATGTTTGATTTGGCAATTCAGTTAGCCATGGAACCAGCACTGAACATAATATCAGACTCCATGCTTGTCTGGTATGTCTTTGAAACATCGTCTTTTCTTGAATCTAGAAATCAACATTATTTTTAGTCAGATCTGAAGTATTAACATTGCTGATTTTCAGGAAGTCATTTGTGTGGCATCGATCACATTTAAGATAAATGTTTTAATGCAGAGGCATTCAATTATGTTTTGTGAATGCATTTTTAATTACCAATGTCCTTGCTTGTGTCAATCTCATTCAAATCAAATCTTAAATCACGCTGCAACTTCGCGAAATTCTAAGGACATCCCATTACAAGCCACATCAGAATGACCTTTCATGAACTTTGAATGATTAACAGGAGGTTGACATTAGCCTATCAGAAGGCAGCTTTGCCGAAATTTATGGCACTAGTTTCAAACTGAAAACTTCTAATTCAAATTACCTTTTAAAAAATTATTTGGCTGAGATTGTATGGCAGTAGTTTCCACATGCCCTGGGAAGTCTCCTCCGTTTCAAATGTTTATCGTATTGAAGCGACAGATAGATGATGATTTTGACCAAATCTTGTCATAGAACCCATCTTATTTAGAAAGCCTCTTGTTAACCTTTTCCAGGTTGCATGCTTAGAAAAGACATTTGGACTTACACTTCTCGATCTCGTGATGCTCTGATCGGCCGGATGGAAGGTTGTTCTGACATAATGGGATTTTCTCAAATCTTTGTGTAGCAGTCGCGAGCACTAAGATCTGATTTTAATGGGAGATTGCGCGTGTGTTATGATATTCGGACTTGTGTTCTGATATTCAGACTTGTGTTCTGATATTCGGACTTGTGTTCTGATATTCGGACGTGTGTTCGGATATTCGGACGTGTGTTCGGATATTCGGACTTGTGTTCGGATATTCGGACTTGTGTTATGATATTCGGACTTGTGTTCGGATATTCGGACGTGTGTTCGGATATTCGGACTTGTGTTATGATATTCGGACTTGTGTTCTTGTGTCGGATTACGGTGTATTTTGTGGAGGTATTATGTCTCATGGCTGTTGGGCAGTCATGCTCCACCAGTGTTTTATAGTAGGAAGTACATGCTGCTATGCCACTGTTGTTTTCTTGCCAGTTTACACTACAATTTTATACTTGTTCTTTTACCAGCATTGAAGTGCTGCACTGTGTTTTACTTGTCAGTGTCTTGATCATGATTAATCACATGACCTGTCACCACTGGTTGCTAGGAAACCAGATGTTACTGGTTGCTTAGGAGCCGTTGTTCCATAATGTTTGCTGTTTGGGTCATTGGAATGAAAGTCAAATGAGCTAATGTATATCTGCAGTGTGTGTAAACATCTTCTTATGAGAACTACTAGAGCAATGAAGCTTAAATTTGGCTCACTTGTAACCACCAACCATGTTCTGATTAGATTCTCATGAAAATTGACTTTTTGTGAAGCAATTGAATTTAACTTTAGAAGAGTGTTGCATAATATACCTTGCATCCATCCTTAAAATTTAGTAACTTGTTTCATATTTTCCCCTATTGTCCTGAAACCATTCTGAAAATTGTTTAATAGGAATTCTGAGAACGTGTCCGTAATTGATTGTTCATGTAATCACATATAGGTCTGATAAGTCAAGACTGTTATTTCACAAAAATATAATTAAGCTCAAATTTTACTTGGTTTCTTTTCCTTGTTGTTTGACGCCACTCTCAGCAATATTTCAGTTATTCATATGTTGTAGCACTTACATTCCTTTTTTTTTTGAAGTAGTCCATAAGTTAGGTGAACATGGCCAAGTTCTTGATCTTGATGGTGGTGTAGCCAAGTGGTTAAAGAGTTTAGTCGTCACACTGAAGACCTGAGTTCGATTCCCCGAATGGGTACAATATGTGAAGCCCCTTTCTGGTGTCCCTTATCCCCCCAACCCCAACCCCCAAGTCAATCAATCTATTAATCAATTAATCAATCTGTATCTATAAGTTATCAGTCTGTCTGTCTGTCTATCAATCAGTCTGACTGTCTATCTAATCAGATTCTTATTCATTGTATCTACCTGGTGTCACTGTTGACAGGTCTGTGAGTTTTAACAATACCATGATAATGTGCCTTACGATGTTTTTAATGTACCTGTTTCACAAGAGTGTTTGAGGTATGTACCATCAGTAGGTGAGCTACATGCTTTCTTGTTTATCTTCCATTTTATGTTTCCTGTTGAAGACACCACTGATCATGATGAATGATATATCTTTGAGTTCTTGTTGAAAGTAGACGAGATAACATCAGAGCAGTCCTTGTTATGTTGATGGGTTTCTCCAGGAAGACCATGGAACACTTTTTCTCAAATCATTTTCCTCTACAATCTTAAGAATTTTTGGAGATCATTCATGAACTTTTTTGTTTCGTCTATACTACTCAAAAGAAGTTAAAGAATACACAAATCTTTCAGTTAACTAGTTAACTATCGTAATATCGAAGAATCAGGTAGTCCTTAACTTCTTTTGGCGAGTAAATTTCACATTTACAGGATGTGAAATCTGTTAAGTGTCCCCCAAGCTATGTTATGTGTTTTTCCTGGTAATGTCATGTTCTCATTATGTGATAAAACTTAAGCATATTGGGCCTTTTGGTTAAAATTTTGACAAAATTATTTACCTGCCAACCCATATAATTGAAACTGAGGTTATTATTTTGAAAGCATTTTACTCTTAAGGTAACAATGTGTAAACTATTGAGTTTCTGAATAACAAACCAAGGAAATTGTTGACGCCCTTTCATGTGGCAGTTGATTTTAGTTTCATGCTTCATAACTGCTTAAGGGGGCACAGGTGGCCCAGTCATCTAAGGCGCCGCGATTCGCTGTGCAGAGTTGCGGCCCTTGGGCACGCCAGAAACCTATGATTGTGGGTTCAAATCCTGGTTCGCCCCAATTATGTTTCTTGGTTTGTCAGCACCATACCCGTGCTCGTGGGTTTCACCGAAGTGGTAAACGTCTGAGACATGCATCACTTTGGGCTTTCCTCCCACATTAAGCTGACACGCCGCAATATAACTGGAATACTGTTAAAAGCGGCGTTAAACCCAATTCACTCACTCACTCATAACTGCTTATTTGAAGTTGCAAACTTGCAATCCGGTAGGCTGATAAAAAGGAACCTCAAACTTTTTTATCTTACCTGTTTCACGCCAATACTATGCATCTCATTTCAATATCTCTGTGATGCCATTTTCCCCTGAGTTAATGTATAGCCTTCACTTTAAGTTCAGTTCACTAATTACTTTGTGCACTTTATCAGTATCAGTTTAGTTCAGACACTCCAGCAAGTATTTATGACATTTGATTTAATTTGCAGAGGAATACGTCTGTTTGATTTTCTCACAAAATTTCTATCATTTCAGCAAACATCTTATTAAATATTTTGCATCAACATAATGTGTTTAGTGTTCTTTGAAGCAGTGAAATATTACTTGGTGAGTGTTTGCGTGTTTCCAGTAGTTGGTTGTCTGGAATCATTCTTGTCACACCCGCATATTGCTGCTGGTTATTGTCAAAAGAATCTTAACACCTTTCATACCCATCCATCATTTAAAGCCACAAAATATTGATTATTTTTACATTGTAGTGAAGCCAAGTTAATTAAAACAAGAAAACAGTGTTATCACTATCCCCCCGCCATGGGGCACATTAGAATTTTGTTTGTTCATTAGAAGTGAATAAACTATTTAAAGAATAAAAGGAGTCCTATGAAGTCTTCACAAGTATCTTTTAGATAAGCTTGCAAGTATCGTCAGTAGTTCATGAGAAAACTTGTCTCCACTTCACAGTATGCACGAAGTTGAAAAGCAGGGAGCAAGGGACATAACTCTCTAAATAAATATATGACAGGACCAATTTTGACAAGTATCTCTTGGATAGTAAACATTAGCTTCTCAGTAGCTTACATAATTTATTTATGAAAATGTATTTGCAAGTATTTTGGATTTTGAAATCATTTGAAACTAATAAGCTTCAGAACTGAAAACAGACATACCCCAGAGTGTAACATGTTGCATCAACATATGGCAGAATAATGTGCTAAAAAATTGGTATTTTCACTGTGCTGACGATGTCAAATTTGTCTTCCATAACTGAACGTCAAATGTCTTAGGTGCCATTTTAGAAGCTGTTGTATCAATGAAGACTTATGGATTGATAAATGTGCTAATACTTGTACCTAAATGTCACACAGAAACAATACTTTTTTTAATCAACACTGTCTTCAGTAAGGCTAAAAAAATAATAGTCTTGGTTCTCAGGCACTGCCTGCATAATCATAAAGTTCACCGCACATTTCGTTATATTTACATTTTTTTAAAAACACACAAACAAATCCTTAAATATTCCAAGTTCAATAGTAGTCAAATACTGTATTCCCGTATTTTACTCATCAAGGAATACATTTATGTAGGGAGGCCCTTTTTACATGTTGATTGTACACAATTGTTTATTGGTTACACAACTGTTTATTTGGTTACATACTAGTTTGAACAATAACAAAAAAAGAAAGGAAAAAAAGACACCACCCACCCGCTGCGCACTATATTTTCAAAAACCATTGCCTGAGAACCAATTCTTTTATTTTGTTAATCCTAAAGAACAAATATTAATGCTATTGTGGTCTAATCCTGTTCTCTTCATCCCTAGCCAACATACATATAACAAAGTATCATCAGCAATAAAGGGTTTATTGACAGGGATGACCTGACCAAGCACTCAATACAAGCAGTGTGGTCTGCTTCTGCTGCAGCAACACGTATGTCCATGAAGACACTGCGCTAGCAAATTGGGTGTGTATGAATTGACTGTATTAATGCAACCCAGTGCTGAAACATGTAACAAATAGCAGTTTACATGGAATACATCGATCCTGTGGGTACTACAGTTTGGTCTGACCTACCAGACTTGAACCAAGTCTATATCAACCAAGGGAAAATACTGGTTCTGTGGACCTGGAATATTATGTTAGTAAATTCTGAATTAGCATTACCATATATGGAATGGACTGGTGGAAGATCAAATAAATACTCAACATCCAGTACACTATTACATTAAAAATTGCAATTACATTTCAACGCAATTACACATTCCTCTACAAGCAGGAGTTACTTGCTCATTACAAAAGCAAGATGCAAAATACCGTATTTGACGTAATAAGCACCCAGGGGGCTCTTATTAGAATATTATTTTGGTGGTAAAAAACAAAGTTGAAAGATAAATTTCGTGGTTTATGCTGACAGCCTGAAATGTTTATATACAAGATATATTTTTTCCGAATTTAATTGCCCATAATTAAGGGTGCATATTACACAAGAGTGCATATTATACGCGAATAAATAAGTCTGTGTACATTAATCAATCGGAAGGGGTGCTAATTGGGATTGTTCACTAGCCAATATATTAGCAAATATCACCATGGGCGCTTATTATGTTTAATACGGTAGTAGAGATGACCAAGTGGGTAGTGCTCCAGTTATGCCAGACAAGGCCTGGGTTTGAATCCATATGTACTGTATCAATGCCATGAATATTACCCCCAATTGTGAAAAAGACTCGCAAGGCCCAGTACTAAGTACACTACATTATATAATTTAAAGATACTGCTACTGGTTAATCAGAGGATATTCTTTGATAACTGAAATGAGCTGCTGGTTTACCAGATGATCTTTGATAATTTACATGAGTTGTAGTTGACAAGGGGATATTCTTTGGCAGCTTATTCAAGGATATATAAAAACAATTATGCAAGTAATGACAATGTGAATCCATGCACTCCATACTTGACACGGTCTGTGCTTCAGTAGTCATGCAAGAACTCCCTTTATTCTGGTATTCACTACTGGCACAGCAACAAGACTTCTCTCTTTAAGTTGAAGGATCTTGAACTAGCTTTTAAAGCCAAACAGAGACTAAAGTCAAAGATACAAAACAATTGCAAGATGTACACTGACTACTTTGTCTGCCCATCCAGGGTATCGGCTTCTACAAAATCAAGCTGACCTATAATTGCACAATGACTGATACTACCTATTGAAAAAAATAGTTTGGCCAAAGTCACACTTTATCTTGAAGCACAATTCCCTTCTTAATATGGGGTTGTGATAATGTTGATCAGTTAAATCAACCATGGACAAAAGAATGTCTACCAAGAAAAAAAGAACTGATCTTAAAGGGACTTTATCAAGGACCAGTGGCCTTTTAATCCTATGGATAACATGCAATATTTTTGGTTATGTAACACACATAATTCTAATGATAATTTATAAAGAAAATGTTCTTTTGACAAAAATAAGTAGTCACTTTGTTGTGGCCTGACCATCAAATTCTCAGCTCCAGCTAATGAGAAAAACATTTAAGACAAATTAATATGTTTCAAGCTACAACAATCTTGTTACCATAAATCCTTGGTGTATCATTTATTTCAGAGATTTTTTAGTTATGGTAAACACTTTTAACTTCTTTGAATATAATGTATGTATTTGCATGATGGTATAAAAAGAACTTTTGTTTCAATATCACTTTTTGAGTTTCTAAATGTATTTCTATGTTTTGTTGATTTTGACCTGGAGTCTATTCAAGGCTGTTGTTTCACGAGTCAAAACCGACTGTATTCAAAGGGTGTTTATTCAAGGATTTACGGTATATATTGCTTCTGGATTCCTACAAGTTAACACAGACCTACTCACCTACGTAGACACAAAGATCTGATTAATAAGGTAAAAGCAAAGACACATAGTATCAAAACCATGATAAATCAGATACACAGAGTATAACCATTCAGAACAATGTGACGAGATTATTTGCCATTATTCATGTATTTACAACACTGCATATTGTATCCCAAATGCATCCCCCAAAAGCTAGTGCCATACCAAATATGCTTTAAACAATGTTCTAGTTGT